GGTGTACTATTATAACATATTTTTATTTAGCGCTATAAGAAATAACCTTTCGGATCCGTATTCCTTTCGGCTTTTTTTTTTAAGCAACAAATAGTAAGTCTAATATATTTTTGGAAATTATACGAATTATACGGAAGATTCTAAGTTGAAGAAAATTACCGTATAATCGTTTACGTTGAATGATACGAAAAAATTTGAAGAACAAAAGAATGAAAATACTTTCGAAGAAGGAATTAAAATTATAATTTGGAGATGAATATTTAAACGATGATAAAATTATGCTTTCAACGAGTCATTTTCCATATAATTAAATCGAACGAAATATTTATCCGATCTATAATTCAGCAGAGCGACATTTCGCACAATCCCATTATTAAACTCTTTATTCGAAACACGTTTTTAATTTTTAACGTGATATTTTAAAAAATGTTTTCACCGAAGATTGGCAGGAGAAAGCGTTCTCGACACGAGGCGTAAAAAGATGTGATTGGTTCGAAACGGTAATCCGCTCGCTGTAATTTTTTCAAATACGATTTACCTGCCGATCTACTCGCCTATAATGGCATTCAACTTCGATAATCCAATTACTCGACGATCTGCGCGACAAACGGCTCCAAGGAAAACTTTTGCTCGCCAAATATCGTTAATTGGTTAATAGTATTTCATAGGTTGCTGGCTTCATCCGCGTAAACCATAGAAATAGTTTCCGCCGGAATGAATGCATAACGCGTGCCCTCGTCTTCAAATCGTTTTCGACGACTGGTCGAGTAGAGACTGTGGCGCGTATTTGCAGATCGTTAACAGTTAAGGCTGGCAAAATAGACCAGGAAACTGTACCTATTACATAACGCAAGCCTGTTCGAGGTAATCGGGCAAAGTAGAACGTAGCAATGAAGCGCACGAAAACGCCTTGACTCTTGCTCGTAATTATTTCGTAGTTCCAGCTTTGGCTAGATTTTAAGTTCACGCTTAAATGGAACGTGTGTATGTATATCCGCTGGTCTTGCGCATTTGCGGAATTCGCAACAAATTTGCAACGTCCTCGTCACAGACCGATACCCGAGGATCCTCGGGACGTTGGAATTTGGCTTGACGTGGATCGTGGAGGGAGAGAAAAAAAAAAAAAAAAAAAAAAGAAATTTTCTCGCTTGCGAGTTGCACTTTTCGTAGTATCGTAAATAGCGATCCATGGGCGTCAATCATTTCGAACTACCGTCATAAATATGACGGTTAAAACTCGAGAATAAAACGATTGTTCTCGCGTGCAAACGAGAATATTCTCCGGAGAATCTTGAAAGGCGTGTAAAAATATCAATTTGTAAACGATCAATTTGTCCCTAGGCTACGAGATGGGAGAACGCAAGAGTAAATGAGACAACTCCGTTTGTTCTATTACAATCCCACTTATGTGCGTAGAAAAAGGGTAGGAGGGTAATTTTATCGGTTTACGAAAACACTGTCATCGACGCCCATGACACGCTGATTTGAAAAAGTTGATCAAAGTTAATAGGTAGAGTAGGTAGAAAGAGTAGGTAGGTAAGGAAAGATGGTAGCTGCGTGACTCGGTGTTTTTCCTCATTAACCTGTATCTCTGGTATTGTTCAGGCAAAGTGGACGAGAAAGCGACGCAACTGCACGCGATAGCCTCGCTAAAGGTGCTGTTGGATGCCACCAGGCCGCATAACGGTGCCGCTACGTCGACCGCCGCCCATTACTCAGGTGCATCGTCGAAAGAGACCACTCTACAGCTACAGCAAGGCTCACAGGGCACCACCACGACCACCACTACGACAACGACCACGGCCGGCACCACCGCCGGCATCCAAGAACTTCCCAATGGCGGTATAGCCGCTGGCCTCGACGCGGGCCTCGATTCGGTAATTGTTCAATTCACCGAATATGCAGGGTGGAAATAGCCGAACATTGGTATTATATTTTACTGTCTCTCTCTCTCTCTCTCTTCTCTCTCTCTTTCTCTCTTCTCTTTCTCTCTTTCTCTTTCTCTCTTTGACATAAGGATAGAATCGAAAGCTCTTTTTTTTTTCAAGACACAAACACATTTTAAAATCTTACGTGATAATGTGTTGAAATTACGAGAATCGTGGACATTTTTTTCCTATTAGAAGCAAGCATTGCAAAGCAGTTTTTATTCGAACGTTAAATCTGATTAAAGTGTCTTATTCCAATATCTTCGTATAAACGATATTATACGGATATATGGAATCTTTTTCATCGTGGAAAAGTATTCTAATTACAAGCAATTCTCTTCTCCGTACTTATTTCTCAACGTTTCTTAATTTTTGCAAGATTTTAAATCACGACGATAATCTCTTTTGCAAGATTCGATTTTGAAAATTACGATTTCGATTGGAAATTGGAAGAGGTTCCACATCCGACAATTTGCGAATTACGCTGGAAGATAGTTAACAGAGGCAAGCAATAGCGGCCGCATTCCTCGCCTGTGCCAACTAGAAACCGGTGGCCGCAATGCTGGTGGCGAAACGTCGTTGGTGCGAATTTCCATGTAGACAAGAGAGTCTCTGGCTGAGAGGCTGGTTGGTCCAATGACAGGAACAATGGCCGCGCCACGAAAACGTTAATTCGGTCGTGTCCTTCGCGATCCCATTTCCCGGAGGGTAAAGTCGGCGGAGGTCGCGCGACTTTAACACGGTGACAAGGCGAAGAATCGACTGGAATTCTTTTTTTCCCCCTTCTCTCTCTCTCTCTCTCTCTCTCTCTCTCT